GGTCAGGAACTAGTTTCTTTCTTGGTTTCAGATATTGTAGTCAAAGCTAATCGTCTAGTGACGCCACTTGTCTTTCATCATGGAGTTTTCAGAATGAGTCTTCCTTCTCTCGAATAGTAGATACTACTGAAGGAAACTTATCTATCTGACACTGAGTGAAATCTCAAAAAATAGACACAAAGGTTTAAGCTTGCCCCCAACAATTTCAGGGAAAGTTGGTGGTGTAATTAAAGTAACATAGAGCTACAAGAAAAGGAACAGAGGCGATAACAAGAAGAAAATCCCTTCTTATTACCTAGATGTAACATTATCCCTGGAAGGTTTGATGTGTCAGGTTCTTTAGGACCAGGGGAAATCATCCGCATCGAGTATAAGAAAAATAAACCCTCTAAAATTTGCATTCCATTATCACGCTAACACAATGAAATTGTAAAGTCCCCATGACTTTGATTGTTATGGACTAATACCACAAGTGTATCCAATTTTATAGTCGAAATAGTAACAATGACAATGCCCCCCACCCCCCCCCCCCCCCTCTTGGTGAGATTATATGAGCAAATTCCCGAATGATTGTTCCTAATGGAATAGGTAACAAAGACACCTTGTTGCCCATTGCTACTAAATCACCACAATCCCATGTTAAATAGTGTTGGCCGTTGCACCAAGAGCCGTTGAGCTCGAGGCTAAACATGGGTATTTTGTATCCATGGAGCAAGGGTTTTATAGCAGTGTCTAATAACATATCTTGGGTACATCCTAAGGTGCTCAACAAGATCAATCGTCTTTGCTTTTGGCATCCTTCCCCCACCGCCTTCCCAGCATTTGCATTTACAGTTTCTTTCGTTTCCCTTCCATTCTTGGAGGAAGGGAAGTTATGTAACTTGTGTAATTGACTTGAGCGTAGATCTTCTTCAACTCTTCAAGCAAAGACCACTAGCCCACCCACTTACCACATTTGCTTATTAAAGAACAAAAAGAGAATCAAAGTGTTGGAGCGGTACCCAATACATGAATATTGGGTTTTGTTCAATCATTGGAGCCAAACTTTGGGGCTTATTTCAAGGCTTGAAGCTCGCATGGGATATTGGAGCGCTCAATGTGATTGTGGAGGTCGATTTGCAATGGTGAATGGTGATACTTGCCGGGGAGTACACATGAGTGTCTTGAGGGGGGTAAAGGACCTTTTGAGTCGACAGTGGCAGGTGGTCCTCAAGCATGGCTATAGAGAATCAAACTTTCTTGCAGATTTTTTGGCCTTGCTCGCGGCCAAAGGGCCTGGCGGTTTTCACCGATTAGATAAACCTACTTCGGGAGCAAATGTTTGGTTAGCTCATGATGTGATAGGAGTGTCTTATTCGTGTAATGTGTTAATATCGTCGTAGTTAGAATTTTGCCTCCTTCTCTTATACCGAAAAAAAAGAACAAAAAGAGTATAAAATAATTGTCGGTGTCCGAGTTCGTCCCCCCCCGGTTACAGGGACCACGGGGTGAAAACCAGTCGAGTACCCGATCTGTACTCGGCCTAGGGTCGGATTGTTGGGAGCAAACGCGATGAAGACGCCAAGGACGGGTAGGCACCACGGCCTCTTCCAGCTCAGTGCCGAGCTGGTATGGTGTCGACTTCGAAGAGTGGTCCGGAGAGAGAGAGGTTCGATCGATTTCATGTGCCGAGCTGCGGGTTAGGATGGCCGGGTAGGAAGTGTTGGAACCCACGAGGATCTCGATATGCACAAATCACAGACAAACATTCAACATAAACCTATGCGCAGCGGATCTAAAGGTTTGATGAAGAAAACTTACTGCTTAATATATTAGAAGCCCTTATCCTATTCTCCTTAGGGTCCCTACTGTAGCTCTATATATACAGCATTAGGCTCATGGAAGAGAAGAGAGCTGGACGAAATATAGAGCTGATGGGATTGTTCTCTTCTCTTCCATGAG